AAATAATGGAACAAGAAAAAAATCCTCCATATTTTTTTTATAGTTTTCGTACACGTCTTGACGTCTTTATAAATTTTTTTTTCTTCATTCCACAATATGTTACACATAATTTTTAAAATCTCCGAAAAAAATAATTTTTTTGTTTGGTTTTTCTGATAAATTTAAAAATAAAAACCAAAACAAGTTGTTGTATAAGAAGAGACGATCCAAATCACTCGTTTCTATTAGATCAAATTTTCAATTTAGAACTTAATAAATCTTAATTTTTAATGAAAATATGAGTGTGATATGAGGGGGGAGGGGGCGCGAATCTATAACCTCGAAGGGGTTTTTCGGTGAAAAAAATTTTAAATTGATCAATAATTTAAAAAAAAATTTTTTTTTGCTTTTCTTTCTATTTATTTTTCCATTTGGAAAATAAACACTAAAATATCAAATATTGAGGAATTTTTTTTTTCATTCTGACTTTTTTTTTTTGAAAATTTGCCAATTAATTTAAAAATTGCCTTTAAAAATGAGTTATGCTCATATGCGAGGCCGTTCCACTGTTAAAACATGAGTTAGGAAAATCCGCCTATGTGCATTTAATTATGTTTTACGGAAATCCTGATAAGACTCTTATATAAGATCGTTGAGGAGTGGAAAAAGCAATTTTGTTTTTGCAATTATTTAATTCGATATTCGGTGGTAGCATTGATATTAAATTGAAAGCATTTTAACATTAAAAAAACCTTTATTTAATTTTTCATTAATTGGACTAGAAAAAATTGAACTTTAATGAATCTGTTATAAATTATAAAATGAGCACTTTTTAACACGTCCATATTTACTAATTTGAAACAGAATTTTTTTCTATATTTTACATTTCATATAGTTTTCAAAATTCTTATAAGACGTCTACCACATGTCTAAGGCCGATTTGACTAATTCAGAAATTAAAATTTTATTGCTGAATAAATCAAGTTGACGTTTTGTATTTGCATTTTGGTAGATGCCTTTAAACAAAACCATTTTGTTCAATACAGCTAAACAGAATTTTTTGTACACATCTTACAGTGGATACTTGGCAACAAATAAATGAAATAAGATTTTAAAATTTTTGGTCTGCCTGATATTTAAAATTGTTTTTTATGGCTAGAAATATAATTTTAAAAATTAATTTAATTTCCTTCCTTCTATCATTAAAATACTATGATGTTACTTATTTTAGAATTTAAAATAAATTTTATTATACTCATTGCAATTAAAAATATTTCTTCTACTCATGCACATTTATACATTTCCAAATACATATACGGTATATCATACTACAAAAAATACATTACCAGTTAATAAGGTGTTAATCTTTGTCTGTGGAATATATGAAAATATTTTTGCGTGCTATAATTATAAAAGTACTGAAATATTTTCTAATTTTTAAATTTTTTTATCGTCTCAAACTTTATTTATATAAAAATGAAAGAAAAACATTAATTTTTTTTTTAAAATAATAATGATGATCGTTTGTTTTAAAAACACCAGTTGTTCTATATGGAAATTATGCTTTCATATTACAAATTTGTATTTTAAGATTTTCAAATAAATTTACTGAAGAGAATGTGTGTATCTAATGTGTATTTTATAAATAAATTTGTTGAAAAAATAATCTTTTTAAAAATTAGTAGTAAAAATAATAATGGATTTTTGTTTAAATATTCTTTGTATGTAATAATTTAGTAAGACACTTAAAGGCTATTATGGAGGCTATAATGTAAAGATAAATTGATCTATGATATTTAAGATGTTGAAAATTTTAATCAATTAAATTGATTATGTTATTTATTATTTTATCACGAAATATAGAAAAAAAATTTAATTTGAAATTACTTTTCTTTTATTATATTTAAATGTTATACAGGTGTGTATATAGGTGGAATATTCCATTAACGATATAGGAATTTTCTTATTATAGAACAGTTGAAATGTCTATGAAGCATACACTAAAATATATTACTAATATTTTAAATATACTATGAAGCTCTTCTGAACATACGTGGCCCAGTTTTGAAATAATATTAAGTAAGATAACTCTAAGTATAACAGATAGCAGATAATGGTAAAATTATTTCGAAAAGACTATGTAACAATGATTTAATTAATTAACATATATTTAGACGGTCTTTAAAAAATAATCGAAGAAAATAAGTGTTATAAAAGGATGTTATACCTACATATACTCGTAATATAATTTGAATAGAAAATTTAATTTTTTTGAAAATTTCAGTAAATTTTCTTATAGTCGTATGTTTTAATTAAATATTCGTAAATTTTAGAAAAAATTTAAGAATTTTAGAATACAGAGAGCATTAATAATTTAAGAAGCATTTTACAAAATAAATATACATACATATAAATATTAAAATTTCAATTATGTAAAATTTTTAACACTTATATCAAAACAAAATTATTCACATAATTTCTCATAATTAAAATAATAAAATTTATTTGAAATTAAAAGTTATTATAATTTTTACTTAGATACTTAACTAAAAAATTTAAGTGGGCTTTCTCACCTGGTTGTCATTTTTTTTGTATACGTTATTCTTATATGGAAAAATGCGCATAGGTGTAAGCATTTAATGTATATAACATAATATGAAAAATTATATTTCGCCAGTTATATGTTTAATAGCTTGTAATTTAATATATACAATAAAATGAAAAAAAAAAATAGAAATTTTTTGTTATAATAAACATATGCTAGATGTATAGAGGTTAAAATACACATTATATAAAATTTGTATATACATACACATGTACACATACATATATTTGTTTGTATAGAATAAAATACGACTAAATCTAATAAACTATAATGCATTCTATGCTTAAAGTATACCTTAAAGTATATACATATATGACAATTGTTACAGTTTCTGCATGGTAGATCATTTATAAAAAAAAATATACTAAATTAACAAAAAAAATATAATTATAGTTAAAATTTTCCTGCGGTAATTTTTTTAATATTTAACATACATATAAATGTACATTATGTGTATAATTGTTAAGGCTTATGACGGCAATAGAATAACTTTTACAAAAGCATAGTTGGATACGCGTGTAAATGACATACACATACAATTTGAAGATATAGTTACTTATTTAATGGATATGTATGATTGTCATATACTTACGTATATAACGTTTAATTAAATATTATGACATATTGAACGCAAATAACTTTATTTAAGTTTAAAAAGCTTAAGAAAAATATTAAAATTGTTAAATGGTCGTGAAGCTCTAAATAACATTCTATACCCGTTCAAAGCTATTTATAAGCTATGTTTAACATATATGTAATTACAGCCTCAAAAGTAAACATACATACATAGGTATATGTTATACAATTTCGTTTAGTATTAAATCATTTAAAGCAGTAAAAAGTTCGCTGTGATATGGTCACTTTATTTTCAGCGTCTTATTATAAAAATCTTTGTTGTTTTTTTTTAGTTTTTTCTTGTCTTGTTAAGTAAAACTAATAAAGTCACAATTTTTATTTGAGTTTCTCATATTTAATTATTATTAAGGATTAAATTTCATACAAAAAAAAATTTAATATAAAAACGTAAACTATTCCGTTTCGCTACTCTAAAAATTTTAATTTTTTTTTTAATTATTAAAAAGAAAAACGAATTCTTAAGATTAAGTATGTGGAAAATTTGCAAAATATGAGTATATATTTTTGAAAAATATTTTTGTGTTGTTTTTTTCGAAATGCATCATATTAATATATTCAAGCATATAGTTTAAGATCTCGTTCACCCACCAACTAAGTTGACGAGACCTTAAACTATGTGAAACTTCATTTTAGCGTCAGTTAATCAATTGAATGCCATATTTAAAAATCATATAAGGTGGAAATTTTATAAGTCAACTTTATAATCTCTTTCCTCTCTTTAATAGCTTTCATAGTCGATCATTTTTAATTACGATTATGTTAAATTTTGTCTTCCAATTCTAAACTCTAATAAATTTCAAACTGTATACCGAAGCTATTGTTTTTCATTTGAAATAAAATATGATTTATCGAAATGACTGGAATTTTTATTTATTTTTTGTCATACCCAAAAATTTAAATATTCTCTCTCAAAAACAAAAAAATATATTTGCAGGTATATTGAACATTCTATACCCTTAATTTACAATTTCATATATTAAATATTCGTCCTTGAAAATTGGGAAAAAAAAAATTAAAGCAGACAGTAGCGATTATACAAAATTGTTTCTAACATAAAAAAATTTACGTACTATATGTACTGTACAAACAACAATAAAAGCTTAAGATAATTCAAAAACAACAATAATAAAATGAAAGCACTCCTTGACTTCTTAGATGTTAGAAATATATATTATGTATGTTTTTCTCTACCACACCTTTTAACATTTTCACCATTATAATATCATAAAATTTAAGTTTAAATAGCATTGAAGATTTAAAAATTTTATAGCACGTACATATATCATTATTTTGTATATCATCCATATGTATGTATGAATGTCTGAATGAACACAATTAAAATGAAGATCTACATAACAAACTGTTATATGTATATAAAATGTATGCACATTCTTATATACTTAGATTTCAATATTCAATATTAGATCGCAATTTTTTCGTTCCTTTTTAAAATTTCGATCTTGCATAGTTTGCTTCATCTTTTATTCATTATTATTTCTTTAAATTTGTGTTAACACTTTGTTAACATTTTAATGTATTAAAATAAAACTATTGTTCTATAATTAGAAGATTTTAAAAAAATTACAAAAAAAAAATTACGTCAACACTTAAATAAAAGTAAAAATTGAAAAACGTCAAAAAAATAAAAGTAAAAATTGAAAAACAAAAAAATTGTCGCCAACACAATTTTTTTTTTTGTTTTTCAATTAACAAAAAATTTTTATTTAATTTATTTTTTCTTATTATTACTATTATTTTTATTTATGTTATTTACACCTACCAATTGTACAAGTTTTAATATTCCAGGTAATGTTTTAAAATATTCAATATTGATACGAATTCCAGCGGTAGCATTTTGTCCTGCTGGTGCACTTGCTGTTGTTTTCGGTTGTTGTTGAATTGTAATTACTGTTTCAGTCATGATGATTTCTTATTTTTAGTTACTTCTATTAAATTATTTTTATGTGTTTTTTTTTTAATAATTTTTAAATATTTTTATTAATATTAGTTTTCTTTTAAGTTTTATTCTAATTGTCGCAATTAATAAATTCCGATTGGAAATTAATTTATAAATTAAATTATAACACTTATAAAAAACAATTAAAATTTTATAACAGAAAAAAAATGTACCGGATAATTGAAAGGAGAACAACAATCGTTTTTCAAATCAATTCAAAATTATTGCTTGAAATCAAAAAAAAAAATAACGAGAAAAAATACAAAAAAAAATAACGAAACAAAACAAATAAAATTTTTTATTTTGTGTTTTTTTTTATATAAAATCGTTGCGCAAAACGTTAGAGCATTAAAACGTATCCAAATTAAACGAAAGCTACTCAACAACTAAATTTTTAGTATTTACTTTTTACTTTATTTTTCATAGTAGCTAGCTCTAGGTATTTCAAAAAGCGCCAAGTTAAAAAGAAAAACAAAACGAAAAATAAAAACACAAACAAGCGATATTTTTAACGGTTTAAAAAAGTGCGCGCATATTAAATTCATTTTTTTGTTTTTCTGCTGTTATTTTACTTCTTACCAACTACAAAACTACAAATTTACATTTTGAAAAGCAGCATTTTATCGCGTCAATTTCTTTTAATTCATTCAGCACAAAATTGCCTTATTCTTGTTGTACACGAGATATGCCATTGTGCATAACATATAGTAAAACTAGGATCTAGTAGTAACGTCGGTAACATATTTGCTACTATTTTTCATTCAACACTATTATTTGGAGAACAGACCAATTTTATATTTGGGCCAGATTTAGCATAATTGTAAAATGGATTTTTAAAATTAAAAGTTTTTGATATTTATAAGTTTCTGGAACATAGAAACTTATGTGTAAACATAATTAACAAAATCAAACCATTTTCTATAACTGCAAAAATATATGATCGAATAACTTATTACCTACGTTGGTATGCAAAGATATTATGTATTACAACAGTTATAAAAAGTTACAAAATTAGAATTTTGATTTCAATAAAACAAAAGTAAAAATTTTTATTAGCATTTCACGATTTTCTAATTATGAATAATTAATTAAGTTAACTGTTATTATAAAATACATTTAGAATTTTGAACAATTCCGGATTAAATCCATCCAAAATTGGTTGACCTTTTTGGTATTCACATACATCATAAAGATTAAAAAGTGGTGTTTGGAACCAAATATTTTTTGTTTCATTTGAATCGCTAAGATTCGTGGTGTTTAATTGAAAAATACCAAAGTGAAATTGTTTACCATCAGTATGTATACTTTGCACTACAAGAGGTTTTTCTAAATCCTTAGTTTTATTCCCATACATCATTGTTGCTTTAGTGTATGCAGCTGCAAAAGCCTTTAATAAAGTTCTTCCTTGAAGTTGATTAGTTTTTACGGGTGTTTTATATAAATTTGTAACTTCTTCTGGTGAAAAATGTGAAAAAACTATATGGGGAAAATAATTTGAAATTATTCCCGTAAAAGGATTAAGTTCATTTTTTGGTATTTGAATTTTAGGTAAACCAATTGTAAAATTCATAGGAAATATATCTGGAACATTTCCTTCAAATGTGCCTGAAAACGGTTCTATAGTTGTTTTGCTTAGTAATAAACTATCTGCTTTGACATTTAATCTAATTAAATTATCATTTTTCTGTAGGAAAACTTCAAAATATGCATCATTTACTAGTTTATTTTGTTGACTGATATTGGATGCAGCTAGTTTTTCGCACTCAAATAAAAGTTTTGAAATTAATAGCTCACATTTCCTATTTACTGGAATTCCATATATTCTTGGTAAATTGTACATGGGTTTTCCAGGTACTTTAATTTTTGGCAACTTTTCTTGATAAGCATCGAATACACAAGATGCCAAAATAGCACGATGAATATTTTGTTTTGTTGCACTTGAAATTTCTGTTTTTTCAATTGAACTCGATATTTTTTCTGGAAGCTCATCCACAACTATTGAGTTTGTAATTATTTGCGCTTGTGACAGTCCTTCTACTAGAACATTATCATTGCCAAAGTCATGACAATCAACATAAGAACTGGTGTCGATTGGTTTTTGTTTAAATAGTTCAAATTCAACGAATGGTCGTTTTAATCCAATTACCTCTTCTGGATCCTTAACTTCAATGCCATGAGCTTTAAGTTCTTCAATAGCTCCAGTTGAACGAGCAACTCTTTTACCTTGAACATGCCAATGCTTCTTAAACATAAAGCCAATGTGCTGAGCACAAAGTTTGGAAGTTAACCTCATGCTTTCTAAAAAAAGGAAATGTTAAACATTTTTAATAACAAAGTATGTTTTGAGGTGATTCTTACCTGAATATTAAATAAATTAACAAAACTTTTTATGTAAGAAGCAAGAATAATACAAACATAAAATAAACACTATATGCAGCTATAATCTTTCCACACTCGCACTTTTTCCCTTCAACCATTCTGGTTATTATTTTTAATTTTCAAAAACATCTGTTAATGACAGTTTGATCAAAATATAAATTAAGCAAGTAATATCAAAAGATTGTTGCTGAGAGTTTGAGCACTACTGTTATTACGTTCAATCTAAGCGCTTTATCACATCGCGGCCTTTTTCTCGAATTTTTTGAATTTATCATTTGTGAACTTTTGGGAGGAAATAAAATTGCAAAGTAAATAAACATTAACTAATGAAATTTCAATAGTTTGTTTGTTTAGTATTGAAAAGACGTCAAGCGTAAAAGTTTTTTTTTAGTATTGAAAAGACGTCAAGCGTGAAAAATTTTGCAGAAAATTTAGAACAATTTAGAACAAACGATTCCCAACATTTTGAACATGGCTAAATTAAAAGTTTAAAAAATTATTGTTTTCTTTTAAATTTATTAGCTCCTGGAGAAAAGTTTGAATACTGCCAAAGTTGGGAAATTAACAAAATTTTTAGTTTTAGCTTAACAGTTTTAGCTTTATTTAAACTGTCTATTCTGTTAAAAAAAACTTCGGCCGCTCTCACAAGTTTTAATATATCTAATCGGTTAAGTTCTTATAGTTAACTTAGGTTAAATGTTTTTAGATCAACACTGTGAATTTAAAAAAAGAAGTTCCACTAATAAAAATATCTATTTGCAACATTATATTAAAATTAAAAATTGAAATTGAAAATTAAAAGAAACAAAGCAAATATTGTCAAAATTAAATTAATCAAACAGTTGGAACAAAGTAACATTATTTTGCAACAAATTCTGTAAAAGTACTGTGGCTTTTAGCGGTATCATAAAAAAACTACACTTCTGAGTAGAACATGAAATCTACTTTTCACTAAAATCCTCTCTGTTTTTAAATTAAAATTACAAAATTAAAAACTGTTCTCTGGTAATTCACTTAAATTTATAATAAAGTTTTAACTGTTAATTATACAATTAACTATGTAAATATTCATGAATTTCAAATTTTATTTAATAATAAAAATTAAAAATCAAATATAAATCTATTAAGAAAACAAATTTACGCGCAATATTGTACTTCGAGTCTTGCCTAAGTTTTATAAGTTTTGTATTTTTGACAGTTCAATAAAAAGTGCTACCAACTAAACAACGATGTCTCTACTTCCTTTCTTCCGATTGAGTTCTCTCGGTGTAAATTGTGAAAAAATTCACAAAATAAATTTTAGGTAATCAACTGTTTTATAGTGAAAATTATTTGTAAAATTAATGAAAGTTATAAGATTTTTTTGTAGCAATTGCTATAATGCCAAAATTATATTTTACAAGTTTAATTCAACTAAATATTCGGCTCATAAGTAGTTTTGTAAACATTAGTATTGTGTTTCCTCCTTTTATGTTTAATTATGTATTAAATTTTGCTATTGTATTTTTGATTTGAAACAAAACCATTTCAAAGTGATTGAAATTTTAATAATGATTTGTTTTTTATTTTTAGCAATGGTACGTATGAATGTTTTGGCTGATGCATTAAAATGCATCAATAATGCTGAAAAAAGAGGTAAACGTCAAGTTTTGCTTCGCCCATGTTCAAAAGTAATAATCAAGTTTTTGACTGTAATGATGAAACATGGTTATATTGGTGAATTTGAAATAGTTGATGACCACAGATCCGGCAAAGTAGTTGTTAATTTAACCGGTAGATTAAATAAATGCGGAGTCATTTCACCCAGATTTGATGTTCCCATAAATGATATTGAAAAGTGGACAAACAATCTATTACCTTCACGTCAGTTTGGATATGTTGTACTCACAACTTCGGGCGGTATTATGGATCACGAAGAAGCCAGAAGGAAACATTTAGGAGGAAAAATTCTTGGATTTTTCTTCTAAGATTAAGTTAGACTTAAAGAAAATTTTTAAAAATAAAAAAAAGTGAGTGTGAGGTGAACACGTAAATTTAATTGTTTCATTTAGAAATCATTTAACAATTTGAAACATAAAAGGCAAAAAGAATATAATGAAATATATTTAAGAAAGTGAATCTCTTAAAATGTATTCCGGTTTGACCCTGCATAGCAAGTGAGAATTCGAATTTTTTGCTTAATTTTATATTTAATTCTAGGTTGGAAAATAAACGGCGAACTGCATACATTTGCTTAAGTTCAAGTCAAAAACTTGGCCGAAGGATTTAAGTTTTGGACTTTCCTGTAACTAGTTAAGATTGGGAAGAATTAAACAAAGTAGATTGTGTAGTCTTTTAAGAGATATAAAAAATTAAAACTGGCATTTTTGGTATACAATATGTAGACGATGTAAATGTACATGAATATTAGGATGACATTTTTTATCATTTGTCAACAATGCATACATGACATTAGTGGAAAATTTAGCCGCCAAAAATTTATATCAGCCGGCTTCAATAGCCACTTCAATTTTCAATTTAATTAACAAAAAAATTTGGTTTGTTCAAAAATTTATAAAATTTCAATCGAGATTTTTAAATTCTTTTAAGTCAATAAAAGTAGTATATTTATTAACTCAGATGCTAAATTGTTCCAGAAATTGATTTTTAAGTTAAGTGTGCGAGTTTTTTAAAACAAAGAAAACTTTTGTGGAATAAATATTTTTTAAGGAGAATATTACAAAAGTACATTGTATGTAAATCCTAGATGTATATTATGTACAATGTTTGTAAATCAGTATAAAAATATCCATACCTGGAAAATTAAAATATCTAAAATGTAATCCTTATAAAAATTATAAAAGGATAAACTTGCTGAGGTACAGATTATTTATGGCAATTTATTTATATATTCACATACTGTTATATTATATACATATACATATGTGTATTATGTTACTTCAGGTAAGAATAGAAAACGATTTAGAATAATTATTCTTTTATAAAACCATTTTGAAATTCTTATACAGAAGCAAGTTAAACGCAAAATTTTATGAACAATTGTACTTAAAAGTTTGACTTTAGTATAGGTAACCTTCCTATAACGTTTCACTCTCACTTCGTTATTTCACTTAACGTAGTTTTATATTTTCATACTATTTCCCATTTCCTATATATAGCCTTGTTCTTTTAATATCATTTCCTGATGTTTACAAGAATTGTTTTTGGAAGAACAAATGACGAATGAAGATTTAAGTTTGTAAGAGAAGCAATCATGTTACTTTAGCGGTAGAAATATTTCATAAACTTATGATTTTGGTTTAGAAATATCACAATAGAAGAGGATCGATACAGCGAATGAGTAATATGTATACATAATATAAAATAAAATTGCTGCTTAAGCTAATTTAATTTAATTGTTTAATTTTATAATAAAACACCTAACTTACATGGTAAAATGCTATTTCTCCTATTTAATTTTAGGCTCCAAACCTTTTTTAACGTTATCTCAGTTCCTGTAGAAAATTCATTAGGATTCACTGTATATTAGGAATCACTATATATAAAATAGGTTTACTTAAGTAGAGAAACTAAGCAAATAATCTAAAAATGTATAAAATAGTAAGAAGGTTTTTGTTTGCATTTTCGTAATCTAATCAACATTTGCACTACTGTGTGTAGAATAAATACCATGCAGATGATTCTAGTCAGTACAAATTAATAACAAATAACTCGATGATTTTCATTACAAAAACCATAAATAAAAGTTCAAAATTAATATTTTTTTTTTCAATTTATTAGTTTTCAATTTAAATTTTTTTTCTTGTTTTTGTTTAAATTTTCGTTTACAATCTATTTTTATTTTTTTTAAATCAGTTTTTTTTTTGTTTTTTGCATTTTTGTATATTTTACATTTAGTAAGTAGTTTTTTCTCTTTTGTATTTTTTTTCATAATAAATTCATTTCCATTTTCTTTTTTTTTATATTTTTATTTATAATGATTGTTTTTCTTAAATTGAAATTTTCTTTTCTAAAGAAATAAAAAAATTATTTTTTTTTATTTTTTTAAATTTTTTTTTTTATAAATACAAAATACTAAAATTTTAATATTTTCTTTAATTTCTATGCTAAAAAATATATTTATATTATATATTTATTTTTATTATAATTCAAATTATAAAATTAATATCCTGTTTTAAATTTAGTTTAATTTTATATTATTTTAATTATTAATTTAATATCCTAAGCATATTATTTAAACAATATAAATATTGTTTTTAAAATTACTTTCTATTTACAATTTATTAGAAGAATTTTTTTATTATTTATTATTCAATTTTTTTTTTTAATAGTATAGAAAATAATATGGAAATTTTAAATATTACAATTATTTTGTAGTTTAAATTTCGTGTTATAGCAAAAATTAAATTTAATATTACAATATTAAGAGTTTTAGCGCATAAAAGAAAAAATCTGCTAAATTTAATCTGGGAACTAAATCGATGTGATAGATAAAAAGAATTTTTCTACTATTGGAAATTAATAAGAATTAGCTAAGTTAAATTTTTTGAAATTATCGAATTTTTTAATAAGTTACAAGATTAGTTCATAATAGAGTAAATTGAATTTTTTTAGCTGATTACTTAATTAAATGTTGTTTCAATATGGCGCATATATTATTTAATAAAATGTTTTTATAAGATATTTAAAATAATAAATTCACATCGATTTCAATTGATTAAGGTGTAATCGATAATACAAAATTCACGTTGAATTGTTTTGCATTTCAATCGATATTGCAGTTAAGAAAAGCATTGTAAACTATTAATGTTCTCAACAGATTTCAATATTCCATATTTTAAAGTCTGAATATTTAAATGAAGAAAAAAAAAAACAAATATCACGTAAATAATAATGTCGATTGCAAAATTTTAACTGCTGAATTTGTTTTGTGTGCAAAATGAAAAATTTTGAAGAGGACCGGCATTTGACAATATCGATTACACCTTTATTTATCGTTTATGGTTATTAAATGATTTTTTTTTAAATAATTCATATCTTTTTTTAATTTGCGTAATTTTTTTTTTAATAAATTCTCAACTACAATTTCTATATATATATATACGTAGGTATATATATATATATATATATATATATATATATAAAATAATCGATTCAATTATAATTGAAATTATTGTATTTCAATTTTGTATAATAATTATTCTAATCATTTTTGAAATATACTTAATACTTTATTCTAAATTTAATGAATAAAAATTAAAATAAAAAAAAAAAAACAAAAATTATAAAATTTTGTTTTTTATTTATTTTTTTAATTTTTTATATTTTTATTTTACTTAGTAACATTTATACATTATTTATTTTAAAAAATAATCAGTCATCATTTTCTTTTCTTATTTTTTTTTGTTTTACATTTTTAAAAATTTATGAATTATTACAAAATTTTATAATATTATTAATTTACTTATATTATAACTTAAATCATTTTTCTTTTAAATAAAAAAAAAAATTAATATTAAAAAATTGCAATATGGCCTAAGTTTGTTTGTTTATTTAAGTTTTGAGAATCATTTTTTTAGTATAGTAATGCATTTTTTGTTTTTTTAATATTTTTACATTTTTGTGTTATTATTTAAAATTTTGTCAAATTAAATAAGAGAGTTTTTAAGATTTAAGTAAAATGAAAAATTTTAAATTAAAATAATTTGAATAAAAAATTATTGTTTAAGAATAAAATATTTTAATGAATTTATTTTAATTGATGAAATTTTTTTTTTAATTTTATTTATTTTATATTTAATGTGTAGGTATTTATTTATAATATTGAAATTTATTTAATTTTTTTTTAATCTACTTTATTTATTATACACGTATATTATAAAATCTTATTCATTTAACATATAACTATATAGTCGTGGTCGAATTTTTATTTATGCTTATGTATTGTATTATGTATAATTATTTTTAATAAAAAAAAATATTTACAAGATCGAAATATCAATTAAAAAAGAAATGTAAAATAGGCAAAATATTTTTAAGGTAACCGCCTGTAATATAAAGCAAATTGTCACCAAAAAATTTATTACTAACAGTAAAAAAAGGTTATAATTAAAATATTTATGTTTTATACCAGAATTAATTTGCATACTTCTGCGACCAATAAATCATATTTTATGTACGAAAGTTATAATATTTTATTATACAAATTTGAAACCATATAAATTTATTTTGATGGGAAAAGTCAACTTTTTTCTTAATAACAAAAATTAAAGTTTTATAAATTGAGCAGCTTAGCAAAAGCAAATTTGACCAAATGTAAAACTTTTAAGTTTAGCCCTATGAAATTTAAGAAGTATGCTTGCCCTATAAATCTTCTTTTTTTTTTTTTGTCAAAAACAAAATGTAAAAATAAAAATATGTCAGTTTAATTATGTATGTATAAATATGTTTCAATTAAAATATTTACAAAAGCGATTTTAAAATTACAAAAAAAAAAAATATTAATAAAAAAAATTTTTTATAAAAAAGAAAAATTAAGTCTAAAATTTTAAAAATTAAAATTTCGTCATTTAAAATAAAAAAATTTGTTTTTATATTTATTTTATATTTTTTGATTGAAAAAAAAATTTTCTTATTTTACTTTAATTTTTATAAATTTTCTTTTTTTTTTTAATTTTATTATTCTCAAGAAGTTTTTTATCACATATAAAAGAGATAATTTTTTTTTTATTATTTTTTAATTTAGTTATTTATTTCCTTTCTTTTTTTGTATTTTTAGATTTAATTACAATTAAAATTCCTAATTTTTGTTTTAAGTTTTAATATCAAAATGTTGCGAATCATTTTTATGCCCATGGGATTTTTGGTTATTCAAAATAAAAACAAAAAGTATGTACTGAATTCCTAAGTGATTTTTTAAAATATTTCGGCTCACAGCTTTCGAACTTCAATGCTAACGGCTAATAGTTTTGATTTTGAATGTGTGTATATGAGATAAATAAGTAAAATTTTGATTTCAGCTAAAGTCAGTATTTGGATTTTATTGATTATTCTTATTCTATTCATAAAACAGATAATGTTTTTCAATTTAAAAAAAAATTAAATTAATTAATTTTTATTACAAAATTTTATGGTGTTAACTTTAAAATAAATAATTTAAAAAAATAAATTAAGTATAATCCAATTATTTTTTATTAAAAATTTATTTTAATTAAATTGAATAAAAATCGAAAAAATGCTATTAAAATGCTATTAAACTAATTAATTAACACATTGTCCTTGGAATGAAATATTTTTTAATTTTGTGGCTATTTTATTAGTTATAGGTAGTAACTATATAGAATTTTATAGATTTTTTTAGAATTATATATTGAATTTAATTAAAAACGAAATTGAGTAAAATTTTAATTTTATACAATTTACATAAAAAAACGTGAAAACCACAATTAGTTTCTACATTTTACAAGTAATTATTGGAATTATAAAATTTAACTGTTCGAAAGCGATTTGAAAGTACTGTTGTTTTCTTATTTTAAACAAAAATGATTCGCAACATTTCAATACAATAAAAATTTTTGTTATACATTTGTTTGTATACATTTTTTTTAGCAATATTTTTTTGCATTTTTTTTTTTACAAAAATATTCAAAAACAAAAATTATTATTTTATTAATTTAAAACTTAAAATTAAAATAATTAAAAATGAACATTTATGAATTAAACAATAAATTTGCATTGAATTTGAATATATGAAAAAAAATAAAATAAAATGAAATTTATGACTAAATAAAATTTTTTTTAAAAATAATAATTACTTAAAGGTTAATTCAAATTTAAAAAAACATAAATACAATAAAAATAAAAACAAAAATACAAAATACTTTTACAAAAATATATTTATACAATTTTTTTTTTCATTTTCTAAAAACAATAATTTTTTTTTTTGTTTTTTAATACAATTTATTTTAATTTTTAATTAATTTTCTTAGAAATTATAATTTAAATGCAATTAATTTATTTATAATTAAAAAAAAAAAAGTAATATTTTTGTGTATGCGTTTTTTTTTATCGATTTAATTTTTTAAAATTCTGTTGACTGTCAAACAAATGATGAAAAACCTGGTAATGGTGCACGTGATCTCGCCATATTATTTACAATTATTTGACCACCATTTAAACTCATAACAGCACTACCTTCTGGCTCTGAATCTGTATAACTTGAATAATTTCTTACTGGTTTTTGTTTTTTCCATGATTGTCTTAATGAATCATTAACATTGGCATAATGATTAACAAATGAATGTGGATCAGAACGAACACTTTCATTTTCGCTTTCGGAATGCTAAAAATAAAGATATATTTTTATTATTATAAATTCAATTGTTAATTGAAAAATATAAAATCTTACTTGAGAATCAGTTGAACTAGCTTCAGATGGTTTTTCTGTTACACTACTATCATCTGGATTTTCATCATAACATTTTAAACTTTCTTCATCACTATGATATGCAACAGATGCTGGTGATGGTCTTGGTGGGCTTTTACCTAATGCTGCCGGTGGTGGTGGACGTGGTGCTTTTTTATTTAATGGACCTAATGTACCACGACCTAAAGTACCAGTACTATTTAATGTACCAGTACCAACTCCATGTCGAGATCTATATAATTCTAATGCAAGCTCTTGTCTTTCATCAATTGACATTGCCATTGATTCTTCTAATGTTTTTTGTGCTTCTTCTATAACAACAGTATAATATTAATTGCAATTTTTTGTAATGGTATATAATAATGAAATAACTTACGTTTATATTTATAACTTTTACTTTTAACACAAAGTACTGCAATAACCATAATTATAATAACAATTGATGTTGCTGCTAATGCAACCATAAACCAAGTTTGCCGATAAAATGGTTTATGTTGTAAATAACCATATTCCAAATATAATTTTGATGGTGTTAAAATTGAATCTTTTGAATATGCTGGATATGATATACCATATCGATTATATGCAATAACACGAAATGTATATGGTGTTGATGGCAATAATGATTGATAACTAACAATAAATTCTTGCATTGGTCCGCTTGTTGTACGTGCTATAGTTTCCCAACGTGCATCATCTATTTAAAAAATTAAATTTCATATAAGAATAAAATATTTAAAATTATATAGATGCTTAATGATCGTGAGTTAGAATGCCATTATGTACCTACGTATATAAAATTTTTATTAATAAATAAATTATAATATTATAAAAATGTTAACTAAGGTATTTAATAAATAAAATATTATGATAATATAAATAATATAAATAAATAATATTAATATAAAAGCTGAGAATTATTAGGAAAAGTTTTTATATACAGATAAACTAGTTTAATAGAAATTAAGAAATAATGTTAAAAAAAAGAATTTTAGCCAAGAAGTTAGTGGAAAGTACTCAGTGCTAATATTGATGTCACACCTTTTTAATTTTTTTAGGAGTAAATTTCAAATAATTTTCTAATGACCATTTGGATATTCATTAATTTGCTTTAGGTTAATTGAAGCTTAAATTGATTACACTACATAATGTAAGGCACAAAAATTAAGTCAGCAAGGTACTGCTTTCTTCATCAGTTGAAATAATTGAAAATTTTACAAATCTATTGTGGCCCGACTGCATAATAAAGTTGGAAATTATAAGTTAAATTGAAATGGGCTGCAAAAGTGAATATCCGCTGGTGATTTGTAAATTATTTATTGATCTAATATATTATAGGAGCCATTTACAGGTAATATTTCCGAAAAATGAACCTTTACATCGGAATTATAATAATACCATATCAATACACAATTCAGCAATTGGCAAAGCAATTCTGATCTTAAATCGATTACAATTCTGATCTTAAAGGAAGTTCAAACAAATAAAAAATAAGTTAATAAATCAATATAAAGTATTAAAATCTTTAAATAAATAAATAAAAATTAACATGAGTGAAATTAAATTAGTTTGTTAAATGAATGAATACCAAAATTATAATGAAATTAAAAAATGAATTCAATGTGCTTATTATACAATGGATTCAAAATTTTAGGTAAATTCCCAATTAAATACTTACAGAAATAACTAGGTTGCCTTTCTACTCATTGTTATAAAAAATTTAAAAGTTAGCGTATGGAAGAAAAGAAATATAAATTTTATTTTAATTTTAAAGTACAAAACCTACACCAAAACACCATTAAATCTTAATTGTAATAAAAAAAAAAACTAGAAAATCGGAATTTAAAAATAATATTTGAATAAAATTTCAAAATTCTTTTGCTATTAGCGCTTAGCATTGTTTACAAATACATAATAAGCGCTTTGAAATTTTATCCAAGAAATTTCAACAGAATGAAACTATAAAATTAAAATTCCATATTAATAAATATAACTACATTGTTTCTGAAACTAAAATACCGTAAAAATTTAAGATTTCTATAGAACTAATTCCTAAAACAAACTTACCTCTCTTTTTACATTCAATATAATAACCAAGAATTGGACCACGTCCTGATGGTCCATTTACCCAATGCATTTCAACACTTGATACAGTTTTTGATAAAATCAATTCTTTTGGTGCTATTGGTGATCCATCTTGTGGACCTGTTGTAACATTACCGCTAATTGCAGGGCCATAATCAATTGTTTGAGCACGTACGGTAAATGTGTATGTGACTTCTTCTTCTAAACTTTGAATTATCAGATTAGTGCCAGTGACTTTCTGTTTTACTTGTTTGCTAAATTCTATTGTAATTGGAAATTTAAAAAAAAAATTTTGTTATTTAAACAAGAATTTATTGTACTTACTTTCATTTTCTTCTGTTGTTTCGTATGTAACAAGATAACCTAAAATTTCTCCATTTTTCATTTTTGGTGGATCCCATGATACTTTTAAGCTTTGCATTGTTATATCTTCAAATTTTAAATTTTGTGGTGGACCTGGTAATCCTTGTAATGTTTTTACAGCTATCGCCGGTGATCTGGGACCATCACCAGCTGGATTAAATGCTAAAAGTTGTATTCTATACTCTGTAAATTTATCTAAAAATACTAAACTATGTGTTGTTGTAGTAGCTGGTACTACTTCAATTTCTTCTTCATGTTTTCGACCCTCTTCCAATTCTTGTGGTGAATCAATTACTAAATAGAAAATTTTATAACCAAGCAAATCACCGTTTTGCATATTTTGTTTTGGTGGTTTCCAACGCAATCGAACTTCTGTACTAGAAATTGGTGCTGCATCAACAGCTCTAGGTTCGCCAGTCGGAACAGCTTCACCTACATATACTGCTACTGGAGGGGTTTGCGGCCCTGTTCCTTGAGAATTGAAAGGTAAGACAATTATTTCGTAATTTCGGTCTTGTGTTAGATCTGCTAAAATAACAGATTCTGAAGTTATTCCCATAACATCTTGTTTTGGTGTTGCTTCCAAGCCAGTTGGAAAATCCGAAATAGGTTGATATAGGATTCTGTAACCACCTGTAGCTGAATCACCATTCCAAAGTGATTTTTCTAAAGGATTCCAATGCACTCTCACACTGGTTGTAGTTATTGGTACTACTTTTAAACCAGATACACCCTTTGATGGGGCTGCTGGTAGTGTACGAACAGTTATACTTTCTCTGCTGAAATCAGATGGACCTAGATCATTTGTTGCTTGTATTCTGAATTGATATGTTGTATGTGGTTTTAAATTGATGGCTGTATATGATGTAACGGTTGGATCTACTCGTTCAGGTAAAGATGTCCACTTAGTATCATCTTCTCTCATTTGAACTGTATAGTAACGTAATGGTGCAAATCCATCTCGACCAGGAGTCCAACTAAATGTAATTTGATGAGCTTGAATTTGACTACGTGATATTTGAGGAGCAGACGGAGCTTGCGGTCGATCACGATTATTAGTTGTATAAACTAGAACAGAAGCAGTTTTTCCCCAACCCAGTCGGGTTTGTGCTGTTACACTAAACATATAATACTTTTCGGACAAAAGTTGTGTGGCTCGAAATGTTCTATCGGAAGGTGGAAATTCTCGAGAATAATTTAGGTTCGAGCTTCCATTTAATGAATATGTTACTTGATAAGCTAAAATTTCTCCATTAGGCTCTTCTGGAACGTCCCAAATAATTCTTGCCGTAGATGTTGTAACATCTGGGAAAGATACATTTGAGGGAGCTCCAGGAGTATCCTCATGAGTTTGAACACGTACTGGTGGTGAGCTAAGTGCGCCATCCCCAAGTCTTGTATAAGCGAGTACTTGAATATGATAAACTACATATTTTTTCAGTTCAGTCAAAGTTGTAGTAAACGAAGAGTTATTTGATATAGTCTTATGTAAAACAAGTCCATTTCGACTTGAAGCACCATAAAAAACTTTGTAACCTTCAATTTGCCCATTTCGATGAGCTTTTGGAACTTCATTCCATCTTACGACAATGGTAGTTGATGATGTAGCATTTGCAGATACCCCAATCGGGCCAAATGAGGGCACTGCTTCTCTTGTTCTTTCTATAGCTTTTGGACTGTCTTTAGAGCAACCGACATCGTTACATGCGTTCATTAAAATTTCATACGCAGTCCATTCTTCAAGATGATCTAAAATATGTGAGTTCGCAGTGTGATCTTCAATCAAAACACTCATAGGAGCAGTCATTTTCTTGTCATTTGAATCAATTTGTCTGAATGTTATATTATAACCTCTTGGATTACCGAACCATTCTGTTTGCTGAAGTGGAATCCAACGTACTCTTAATTCAGTAGCACTCATTGCCCTAACAGTAACATTGAGAGGTGGATGCATAGGTCGGGCTTGTATAGTTTGAAAGTCTTTTGTAGGTTCAGATGGTTCTGATGGGCCTACTACATTTGTTGCTATAAGCCTTAATCGATATGATGTAAATGGGACTAATCCGATAACGGTTAATGTTGTTGCATCTGGATCATGTACTTCATATATAGTAAACCATGTTTGATTTCGAGCAGTTTGAGCTTGTACCGTCCATAAACTAATAGATGAATTTCCATCAAAACCGGGTGTAAATTGCAAAACTACTGAAAATGCTTCGATATTAGAGAGAGCAAGTTGTGTTGGAGCATGTGGAAGAACTGGTTCAACACCAGATTGTATTGTTGCAGTTTTTGCTGGACCTGGACCAACTTTAGTCCACGCTGTTATTTCAAACCAATAGTGTGTTGTTGCTTGAAGTTGTGTTATCATTACATTTGTTTGATTAGCTGTTAAATTTAATGATTTCAGTGTATCTGGTGTATCTTTCACCTGATATCTAAGTTGATAACCTCTTAATATACCATTTTTATTTCGTGGTGGTGACCATACAACCTTAACAGCTCTATCTGAAATATCCATAAAATTGAATGAAGCAACTTCATCTGGAACATCTTCCATTGTTTTAACTGGTATCATATCACTACGTACACCGTCACCAGGATCGGTAAAACATAAAACTGTAACATTATATGATGTAAATTTATCTAAACCATCTAATATTGCCGTTTGTTCTGCTAATGGATCAACTAAACTTGGTGGAACAGTAATCATTCTTGCTTCACATTCATATTCTTCACCCTCATTTATATCATATTTCCATGCTTGTATTTTATACCCCTGATTAATACCATTAATTTGTTGTGGATTTGGTGGTTTCCATGATACCTTAACTGCCGTTGAATTATATGGTACAACTTTAAGATTAGTTGGTGGTGCTTCTGGTATACCTTCTTTTGTTTTAATTTTTGCTGCTTCAGTAAATACACCAACACCCATATTATTATAAGCAGCAATTTGTACTGCATAATCTTTCCATGTTATTAGCTCTTGTATTAAGAAATTACGTTGTGCTTCATTTGTTATATTTCTTTCAGTCCATGGACTATTATTATAACCATAGAGTCGATATCGAATAATATAACCTAATATTTGACCATTGCGATGTTCTTCTAATGGAGGTTGCCATTGAACAATAATTTCTGATGATGAACGTGCTGAACCCACAAATCCTACTGGTGGTCCAGAGGGTGCTATTTTTTTTTTGTAAAATTTTAATAAGAAAATGTTAATTAAATATTTTGTTAATTTTAAATGCATAAAATATTTATTTGTTAATTAAATATAAAATAGTGAATTTATTATATACCTCTTTCAAGCGGTAATTCTACATTAGAAAGCCATTTTTTTTGTTACAATTTTTTTAGTTTTTAATTTTTTTAGTTGGTTTTTTTTTTAAGTTAATTTTTTTTTTATTTTGTGGGGGGAAAATATATATATTAGTTACGATTAGTAAAAAGTTTTAACAATAAATAAATGTTAATAAATTATTTAATATAATTTTAATACAAAATATTTGTTTTCTTTTGTATAAATATGAAATATTTTGGAAATGAAATAAAATGTTAAAATGAACTTAAAATTAGATAAAATTAAAATGAAAATTTGAATAAAGTTCATTAATAAAAATTCAGTGGAATTGGATAGGAGGGGGGAACTGGAATTGAGTTTGTTTTTATTTTGTTTTTCTATTCTAAAATTAATTGCAAGTATAACATGTGTGCATTTGCACTTGAAGAGTTTCTAAAATTAACATAGTTAGTGCATTATTAAAAAAAAATTGGTATTCCATTATGTTTCAACAATATTTTTAAATTTATTGGATTGGTTTTAGTATTTGGACTATTTAGCTATACATTTAATAAGCTACACAAAGTATATGAATAATAATGGTTATATGAAGGCACTATTGTTTTACGAGTGGTACATAAAATTTTATCCTGTTCTAAGGTTATGCCACGATATAATATAACAAGAGCTCAATAATCTTATTTTAGATATTAATTCCAATAATAAGTAGTTTTTGTTAGGTATACATCGTGTACATATATCTACAGGTTTTAATCTGTTATACACGTACACAACGTGTCTGTTGTATACGTTTACGTATTTAATCTACAGGTTGTTTTAATACGTAAAATTTACAAAACTAAACTTATACAATAATTTTATAATTATGAATCAAATATTTGAATTGTAGTTTTGAACATTCAAAAAATAAAATAATGTTTGCATGGAAGACTATATTTATGTGAAAACTATTTAAAAATTAGAATTTTGTCTATCTGGAATGTGTTTCATATGGACAATGTTCAAAACTCTAGAATATAATTGATCGTTTTGAGTGCTACTAGCTACTTATATATAAAAAATATTTAAAAACTGGAATTCTGTCAAACTGGAAAATTAATAAAAAACTAGAATTTCGAATGCCTGGAACTCCAATTAGGACTGCTGAAGAAACTAGAATTTTGTCTGTTATAGAACGCTGTTTATATGGAAAATATAGAAAAGTTAGAATTATGCCAGTGTGGAATTCAATTTTTGTGAGTTAATTTTAATGTTTGGCAAACTTAAATTTTAATTTTTATAGAAGTCGGCATTTAAAAGTTTGAATTCGAATTAAAGGGGTAAAATTGCAAAACGTGAGGCGTTTTGATTTTTTAAATGATATTAAATTAATCTTTAAATTAAAATAATTTAATTAAAAAATATTTAAGTAAAAAATTAAAAGTCCCCAAAATAGAAAATCTGATTAAGTTCAGATTGTTATAGAGTGGCAACTACATAAATATTGTAAGCGTATATAAATAATATTAACAAAAAAAAAATTAAAAAAATTTTAAAATAGGTGTAAGAAAAATTTTACATTAATTATCAACTAAAGTGCAGATTTTTTTTGGAAATTAACCAAATAATATTAAATAAAAAAACAAAAATTAAGTGTTAAACATAAACAAGTGTTATTTTTTGTTAATGAAGTATTGAGCTATAACAGATAAAATATTTTGTAAAACGATAAACTTACCTTCTTGTGGTAATTCAATAATATTACTAGCTTCAGATGGTGAACCTTCTCCGACACGATTAACAGCACTAACACGAAATTGATATGTGGTAGCCGCTTTTAAATTTGTTAATAAAATCCATCTACGGCTCGATGAAACATTACTTAATTCTGTAACCCAATTTAAAAATGGATCTGGTATTGGACCTGAAAATTCTCCTGTTACTTAATTTTTTTTTTTTTGAAATTTTGTTGTTTTTAACACGAAAAACATATACAAACACAAATTTATATAAATTTTACGCATAATTAATTATGTTATTTGCCAAAATTAAAAAATGTGAGAAAAAGAGTGCGATATACATATTTTTGTTTTAATTTTTTTTTTTTCAAATTACGTTTTGTATTAAGTACAGGATTTATTATTACATGTGATAAAAAGAGAAAAAGAGAGAGAGAGAAACAAAAAAATATAAAATTACTAAATTTTAATAATTACTGTGCTTTTGCAAAATGTAAAAAAAAATGTAAGCATGCAAAAATAATATTATTTTAACACTAAAAATCTATTTAGATGACTTATTATGCACAATTAATAATATTTTTAAAAAATCTTTAGGCCGATGAGTGATTTTGTATGAGATATTTTGAATCTGAAAAATATTTTTGTTGCATAACAATAGGCTAACACTATTTTCAATGTAACGCGAAAGGCTGCCTTGAATATTGAAACCAAAAATAAGAGGTTTAATTTTCAGCCAGCTTACAGCCAAAGGCAAAGTTGAACAAGTACGATCGCACATTTATTCCGTTCTACTTTAGCACAAATCTATATTGATTTAAGAATCTATGGTTTTAAGGACCGCGGCAGTAGGTGAACGCGTATACTATTATTAATAGGCGGTAACAGTAATACATACTATAAATACACTGTAAGCTCAATGGGTTCTTTAATCGAGAACAAAATAATAAGTCATCAACATTTTAAAACTATATTAATACAATAAACAATAAAAATTTTAATCATATTTTTCAACCAAAATAATAACCAAAAATAATACAATTCATACCTAATTCAGATACTTCACGTCTTTGTACAATAAATTTTAATATTGGACTATTTCCATCAAAACCCGGTGTCCATGATACATTTATTGCACGTTGTTGATTAACAGAATCAATACGTTCAGCATTAACATTTGTTGGTGCAAATGGTAATTCAATAACACTTAAACGTGCTGATCTTGTTTCATTACCACCTGGTGATGTTACAACACATAAATATGAACCAACATCAGCAGCTCTAACTGCTTGTATTTCTAATGTACCATCTGATTGTACTTTAATTCTTTGTGAATTTTGTATTGGTGTTTGTGTTTGACCTTCACGATACCAATTAATATTATATGGTACTGTTGGATCACTTGATACTTTACATTGCATTGTTGCTGTTAAACCTAATAAAACTGTTGTATCAACTGGTGGTTGAATTATTTGTGTTCGAACTAGTAAAAGAGAAAAAACAAAATAAAAAAATTAATTTTTATTTTGAATTTTTACATTAAATACGAAATTTAAGTTAATCAATTGATTAGTTTTATAATAAAATAAAATTTAATATAGACGGTATAATAATAATCTCTATATATATTTGTTTAAATCATATAATTACCTAAAACACTTAAATATGCTTCTCCAGATACAGTACCAGCTTCATTTGATCGAACACAAGAATACAAACCAGCATCACTTTCTCGTACATTTGATATTAGTAAATCACCAGAATCAAGAATTTGAAAACGGCTCGTTATTTCAACGAGTTTAGTTTCTATATTATATATATGTGTATATATATATATATATATATATATATATTGTAAGTCATTACAACACAAAGCATAATTGATAGTTTTTGTAAGTTTAAAATAGAAAGAGAAAAAATAAATAAAATATTAGTAATTTTAAAAATAAATTGTTGTAACTTTTAAATAATTAATATAACAATTAGTATAACAATTTAAAAATCTACAAATTTACAAAAGAAAACTGTCATTTTATTTCAGAAATATCCAGCACAATGAGTACTTTAACAAATTAAAATTTTATCCTTAATGCGTTTAAGGGTCTCAAAAATATGTGGACAACCGTATAAATAGGTTAAAATTTTTTAAAAAGAAGCCTTTAATTAATATTCTTTCAGTAAATTTCAAAATTTATATTGCTTCCATTCATATAACAATTAAATGGGAGCAATTTTTTCTGGAATAATTTTTCAAAAAAATTACAATTTAATTGAAGAATAAAATTTAACCTGTCCAATTAAAGACCTTTAATTTTTATTTTTCTTTTCAGAATACCCTATAATAGGGATATTTGATTCAAATTGACACTTTTAATCCTTTTCAAATTTAATTATAAATCATAAAGTATTATCCTTTTTAACGTATATATACGTAGGTAAATGTGAATATATCTTTAACAAAAAAAACAAAAAACATTTAATTTTAATCTAAAATTACACATTTGATTATGTGATACTTTAATTTTTTTTTCGTTTTTGAAAGGATTTACCTGTGTTAATCTGTACCTATACAAAAAATTTACTATGGGTATTGTTTTTTATTTTAGTATTCATTTTAAATTATACACATTACACAATCCTTTTAATTCTATACAATATAAAAATTGTATGGGTATATGTAAATGTGTCTGCTTTGAATAAAATGTGCTCCAAATGAAAAACTTTTTATATTTTTTTAATTTCTTTTCTAAATAGACTTAATAATTGTAAGTATATTGTAATACAGTAAAGTAAAAATTTAAGTGTGTAAATTTTGAAGTCATTAAAGAATACTCTGCTTTTAAATTATTAATTTATACACGATATTTTTATTGCTATTTTATTTGCAAGCCTTTGATATTTGAACTATATATGTTTTAAGAGATCTACATCGAGAATATAAGCCAAACAACTTTATAGTGTAAGAGAGCTTTTAGGGTTAGTAAAACATGAAAATGTTTATTTTCATATCGTCGGTTAAGAAGCAGAAAGCATTAAGTCAGGAAACTGTGTTTTGAGTAAATTCAATTTGAAAAAATCGTAAAATTGTAAAACTAATCAATTAATGCAATTCGATTCTTTAATTTCTGGATTTAGAAACTATATTCTGGATTTGCATGATTTTTTGCCAAAACAAAGATTATATTATTCTGATTTAATTCATCTTTGAAATCCGAATTCTCAAAAAATGCCCTTAGTGCTTTCTGCTTTTTAACCTACGATATTTTCTTTGGGATTGCGTACTAATTGTTTTTGAAATTTAATTGCCTATAATCATCATTTTCATTATTATTTGAAAATGAAGTAACTGGTCATATGCATCAAGCATTTTTAACTTATGGAAGTCAACTTAATGAAGATTGGGTTTTTAATAGGTTTTAAGATCTATTTACTATATGAATATGCTCATATCATAATATGTCACACTTTAAAACCGGTTTCCTACCTATAAAATGCTTTCATTATTATAAGAATTTGTGGAGTGATTAATTTATTAAATGTAATTATTGCTTCAATTATTATTTGTAATTGATTGAAATTTTGGGAAAAAGAACTACCTGTTTATTAATCTTTGTATCTGAACTCTGATTTTTCGTATTATATTCTCTGCGTTAATTTTTTGAACGCAGAGAATTATCCCGAAAACCACAACAAAAATATTTTAATCGTCATTTTACTGTACTCTTTTTATTTCAAAAACAAAAAAAAAAAAAAGAACTAAAAACTCAGTTAAAAAAAAAATGAGAATATCAAAAGATTGCATACATTTCGGCTTTTATATTTTTTTTTCTCCGAATGAAAATTTCTTAATTGTTAAAATTGTATAATCCTTTACTAAATAAACAAGGCAAACAAAATAAACAAATAAACAAACGAACAAAAACAAAATATAAAAAGAAATTATACAAAGTATCATATATGTATATATACATATACAAATATACTGTTATATTATAAAAAAACAAACAAAAAGGAAAAAGTAAAAATTAAACTTACCGTTATATACCCAGGTAATATTAGGTGCTGGTGCACCAACAGCTTTACACGTTATTGTCGCATCTTTACCATCTAAAGCGGTAACATTTTTTGGTGGAATTTCCATAATTGGGGTTGTTGCTAATTTATTTGTATAATATTTACGAAATAACGAAAATTGAGAGACACACAAACACAAAAATGAAAAAAAAAGAGAAAGAAAAATAATTTTTTTTTTTTTTATTATTATTTTAATATTTTTCAACTTTTATGAGAATTTTTCAGGTTTAGTTCATTTCCCTGGATAAAAAATATTCTTCTTTTATAAAAAAACATGCACATGTTTACGTATAATTTTGTGGTATTTACATATGTGTATGATATTTGTATGTATGTCAGGAAAATGAACTAAAATAAGGTATAAAAATATTAAAAATTTAAAAAACAAAAGCGAAAAAAAACAACGTTAAAGGTAAAACTTTTTTTTTATTTTGGTTGTTTTTTTTTTTATTATTTTTGTTATTTAAATATATGAGAATAAATGGTTTTTTGGTGTAGAAAACAAAAAAAAAACAAAAGTATAAGTGAAGGAAAATCTCAAAAAATAAAGAAATCAAAAAAAAAAAAGAAAAGAGAAAATTATATCCTGTTTTTCTTTTTTTTTTCTCCAAAAACGTTAAACAGAGTCGTGATATTTTGGCACGATATTTCTTAAATAAATATACGAGTGTGCAAAGATGTATGTATGTATGTATGAAGGCAAAAAAAATAAATCAAAATAATTGCATATAAGCTACATTTATGTGTATATAGGTTTGTGTATATAATCATAGTACGTTTGTATGAGAATGGCTATAAGGTTGTAATATTTACAGTGCTTAAGTGAAATGTGTAAAACTAAATAAATATTATAAGAATTTTGTTTATTACATTAAAAAATATAAAAATTTAGTGCGCTCTTATATTATATAATAACATGCTTTTAAATAAAATGTGTTTTTTGTAAACAGGCCTGCATAACTTGCTTGTATATTAATAACATATAAATTAGTATATTATGTAAGATTGTTTTATTAATAAGAGAATTTTTATTAAAAAAAAATTTACAATTTCTTGTTGGTTTTAAAACAAGAATGTCCTTATAGCAGTACTAATATTTTCAATATCTTCGTATAGGGTACAGTTTATGCTGATAATTGCAAACAACAGTAGTAGCATATAGTACTGTTAAATTTGTCTGTGTGAATAACTATTAAGAGATAGATTTCTATTAATATATTTTAAGATACAGAAAATTAATTGAAAACTGTATATGTATTTCAAATATGAAAATAAGATTTGTGATTTCGATTAATATGAGAGGTAAATCTATGGTTCAAAGATAAAATTTAGTTACAGCCAGATAGATTAATTCATTATTGTTATCTATCACGTATTGACCGTAACATTACATTTCACTTTTGTACCAACACAATCACTTAAATTCGCTCTTCACTCAATTATATCTCATTCTTAATAAATCACTCTCTTAAAATTCTTGGTATCTCATTCACTCTTAAAAATAATATCTCAATATAACATCTATGATTTATAACATTATACAATAACAACTGATACAAGTTTACAAGTTTGTTTTTTAACTAAAATTTTCGAAATTAGTAGATGAAATTATTTTTACGTAAAAAAGTGTCCGAATTATAATTTAATACATTATCTTTATTATAAGCAAAGGAGAATTTGGAAGGGTTAATTAAAATTCCAAAACTTCTAAGTTAAATTGGTTTTTGATACCTTTAATAAAAAAATATAGGGTTTTACGTACCATGTTCAAGATTTTTCCGTTTAGTCTCGTAAAAATCTAAAATGTCGAATTAAGAAGATTTTGTGAAAATTGTACAAAAAAAAAAAACGCAAAAATATTCTATTAATTGAAATTGAATCATCTATTAAAATAAACTCTTAACTCAATTAGAAAAATTTGTATACGGAATTACAATGAGAAAAATTAAATTACTCGTCGAAAATATTACGGATGTCTGAATAAATCAATTTTATTATAAAAAATGTCAAAATACATACATATATGTACATACATGAATGAATAATTTATTTAAAATTATGAAAACTGTTAATATTTTAATGGAATTGAATTTTTTCAATACACACATGCATATATGTATAAAACCTATAATTGTGCTCAAACTAAAAGTATGCAAATTTTTAAAAATAATTTTTATAAAATCTTTTATTAAACTTTTAACATGATTGAGTTTTCATATTTTTATAACATTAAAACTGTAATGTTATTTTTTGTATTTGTAAGAATAATAATTGTGCACTTTTAACTTTTAAAATCTTCTTACATTTTAATCATACGAAAAAAAAAAAATAGAAAATATTTTCTCTGATAAGAGGATCTCTGCAATTATACAATATATATGTGTGTTTGTGTTATGCAATATGAGCACAGTATATGAGCAATTTATATATGACGAATTATTCGAGAACTAAGTGTACTATGCATTCACGTAATTATTTATAATATTTGGATATGCAAATTAAATAATTAAATCACTTTTATACTGCACATTATTTGTTGTAATAATAAATGTGCATCTGTTTCATAATATTTTCCGTCTTGAAAATTTTTACAAAAATTAAAATTTTTAATTTATTTGAAAATAAAATTTCATTTCATATTTAAGATTATTATTGTTTGTATGTAAATTAAAAGTATAATAATTAAATTATTTAAATTTTTTTTTTAATAAAATTTTATTTTATTTAGTTGGTTATTGTATGTGGAAAACTTATACTTTTGAAATATTAAAAATTTAATTTTATGTGTAATAAATAAATAATTTTAAAATATATGAATAAATAAATAACACTTGATAAACAAAGACATTTTGTGAGCATTGAAGTATAAAGGACTTCCTTTATAATTGTATTCCAAAAACGAAGGTATTAAAAACAAAAAATATTCGCAATAAGTTGTTTTTATTTTATAATAAATTTTTCAGAGTTTCCTATATTAAGTGATCCGGTTATCTGACAGAAAATAAGCTTCTATGTTTCTTTCCGTTCTTAACTGATCGTTTCAACAACTAGGCGCAATATATATATGGTAAAGTTGAATTATAATTTAAATCTGAGCAAGTATATGTAAAACTCGTACCTTATGAGCTTCAAAATTTTTTCCTCTCTCAGTAATATGGAATACTACTCAATATTTAACCATATACAGAGCACATATACCATAAGTAATTAAAGTATAACCGAAGCGTTTAATCATATTGACATATTTTGACTATCTTTTTATAAACTGTAAAGTTGACGGAAACGACTGCAACCGCCCTTAAATTTCTTACTTTGTATAAGGAAATAATTTTGGTTGAAATATTTTATATCTTTACGCTTATATTCGCAGAAATAAGTATGTGTACAGAAGAAAATGTAGTACATAAAATTTATTATTATTTATTACAATTTTTATGTTGTGTCCCATATACAATACTATATATATTAGTAAATTATATATTGTGCACACACACATACACATGTATGAACATAAAACATATATAAAATAAATAAATTACTTAAATAATTATTTCACGAAATTAAAATGAATCCATTAAAAAGGATAATATAATATTAAAGAATACAAAATAAAAATTATGTTCTCACATATTATGTGTACATTAATTAAAAAACAAAAAAAAAAAAAACAGAAAAAACAAAAACAAATGAAAATTAAAGAAAATTTACAGGATTTTAATGAATAGTCGTGTATGTATAATATAAAATTGTTGGCGACAATATGACTAAAATTTTCTTTCACTAAAAGAATCCGATTTTTTCCATTATTGTTATTATTCTTTTTCTTTTTCCATTTGTTTTTTTCTTTTAGTTATTTTTCAATTCTTATACATTATCTATACTGTAATATCATAATGGATTAATGTACTAATAAATAACAAGATTACCCACATTGATTATAACAGCACCAAAAACTTTGTTAAAGGATATAAGGACGAATATGTATACGCAACAATATATTATATAGGTATTTTAATGTTTAAATATAATATGAGAAAGTATGACAGAGAAAAGTAAAAACAAAAAAAAAATATTTATGATTAATTAAAATGAAAAAATATCCTTGCGTATTTATGGAATGGGATATGAAAAATGTGGTGAAATAGCAAAAATATATAGTAATTGTAGGAGAATAAAAAAAATGAGAAAAAAAAAGAAATAGGTGAAAATTAAATATTATGTTATCCTTAACTAAAAATAACATGAAATGGAACTGAAAAAAAAAACAAACACAAAATCCTATATTCGAAGGCATTTTTCATCATTGACTTTTCAATTTTTTCGAAGGATACCAAACATTTACATATTGATCCTATTAGTAATAATCAACAATATTCATGTTTATGTACACATACATACAAATATGTCAAGTAATTATGCAAATATACTTTTGAATTTTTTTTGTATTTTACAAAATTTTAGGATAACAATGAAAATTATGGCAGATATTTTGGATTGTTAACAAAAATATTTTGAATATTTGAGGTATTCAGAGATTGCTATTTTACGAGTAATCATATGTCGAATCGATATTTGTATTAAGGTTGAGTCAAAGTTTAAAAACATCATGTTTACAACGGATTATGATTATTCGTAAAAAAATGAAAAAATTACTTATTTGTTTTACACTGGTCGTGCGGTCGTCCGTCTATTCCTGTGTCTATTTATAAAACTTCTGTACAGCCTTTAAAATATGAAAGGATGAAATTTTGTATTCAAGGAAATTTTTACCATAGAAACTTATTTTTTTCAAGGAAAAATTTTAATCACTTCCCTCCCTTCTAAAAATTATAGCACTTCATAGCTTTCTACATCACATACCTTAACTTCAATCAAAAATAAGTTTATCATATACAAGTAATTTTTTATAAAATTTTCTCAAATGATTATATTTCCTTCATAAGACCAAGCCATTAGTTCATAGCACCAATAATTTTGTTTCACCGAAGATTTATCAGCGAAAACACTTAACTCTTAAAAATATCCTATAAGAAGGAAATTTTTCGAAATAAACAAGAAGAAGAGAGGAATATATCCTTAAT